ATGGATGGGAGCATGCTTTCCCCACGTGTAGCAACGTCTCCAGCTCAGAGCCCACAGACTCCTCAGACACCCCAAACCCCACAAACACCTTCTACACCAGGTTCAGGATCAGCTCCAGTGAAGCCCCCGAGGTCTTCCATGGCTGGTCTCTCAGTGGACATCCCAAGCCCTCTGGAAGTAGAACTGCCTGGAATGGATGTGCAAAAGAAGCTAAGAGAAGTAGAGAAACAAAGAGAGGAAGATGACGGTAGGAGGCAAGAAAGAGTAGAGGAAGTTGGAATTGCTAGAATGGAAAGGACAGGTCTGATCCAGGTGGATCAAATGTTTCAAGGTGAACAAGGCCTGATTTCAGATACAGGGGAGGGAGCAGGACTGGTGGTAATGAGAAGGAGGAAGGTAGGTGTAGCCAGACAGACACAAGTAGAGGGTGAACCACAAGATGGAGAAGGAAAGACAGAGGTGGAAAGCCAAGGGTTACTGAAGGTTGCTGAAACAGGGGGCTCTGCTTTGGGGGACATGGTACAACTCAGATTGGAGGAGACCAGTGCATCCCTGGCTGCTGCTCTGGAAGTTGTGGAGGAGAAGATTAAGAAGGATGACAGGTACAAACACTAAACAAATAATTTTCTTCAAATCATCTTTTTTCTGATGATGTTACTTGTTGAAATCTCTTCCATTCTGTCTACTCTAGTTTCTCTTTCTTTTCCTCTTCAGCTCCATTGTGGACAACAAGAGCACAGTCAACATTCTCGATGACATTGGCAGCATGTTTGATGATCTTGCGGATCAGTTGGAGGCCATGTTAGATTAAAAGCCCAAAGGTAAACCAGATTCCATAGGGAGTGTGACACTCTTAAGCTTCTTGAAGTTTCTCAGTGAGGACCACCAGGATGCCATCTCAGCAGGATTGGAAACTCAATAGGGCAAATGAATCTCTTCCATTCCGACATGTTTAAAAGTCAAACTACAACTGAGCATCTCTAAGAAAAAGCCTAATTGTTGACTAATGTTTTTCTCAAACCCTTTCATTCTCCACCAGCCTCTAGTGGCCAGAGTAGGTACTGCAAGTATGTATCCTGACCTGCTGTCATGCTGCTTCCAGAGATAAGCACAAAATTAAGAGAAACTATGTGACAAGCTTTCTAGATATTATTTAAGCAGAGAAATGCTAGTATGTATGAGTGTGTGTATATGTGTGCACTACATGTTGGGTGAGAGTTGAATATCGATGAATATTTCTCTTGATGGCAGTGGTAAGAGTAAGTCGTTTTCTCTTATATGATGTTAGGAAGCTGTGTTGTTCTATTCCACATCTCTGCTGAGAACTTGTCCACATTGTAAAGGGGAACTTTGAATTTCACCTTGTGGTCTTCAGCTGGAAAATTTACTAAACACTTGGTTTGGACTAAATATATGAAGAGCACAACCCTATTTATGACCCTGAAGATATTCAGACTTTTTTGGACTATTTTGTGCAAGATTTCTTTGTTCCCTTGAAGTATAATGAAGAAAAGCTTTGGACTTGAAAAGGTATATTGTAATCTTTATGTATGTTATTATTGTTGTTGCTGTTGTTGTTGTTGTCAGTGTGTGTGAATGTTTGACTGTGTAGTGTAGTTCTTGCATTGACAAATCCCACCCTGCCCATGGTATAATACATAGATATAGACAGAATTCAGAATAAGATGCTGGAAAGAGTAGTGTATATATGACATATAGGTTATAGTTATCATTGATAGTCTAGAGTATGGAATGCATCAATATGGAATGCTACAGACACCTGCTCATTCCTAATGTGCTCTAATAAGTGTTTATGTGTGTTTGTTTGTGTGTTTGGAGGGGAGGTCAATTTGAGAGTGAGAGAATTAGGAAGTGTATGTTTATAGTTTTGGGAAAGAGACTATATGTTTGTTTTCTCTTACAAAAAATGTGCCATGTTTTTGGACATGGTACCATGGTATTTTTGAAGTAGCTTGGATGATCATGTTAATTCTACAGTACATGAATATGGTAATCATACAGTACTGTTGTATTACCATCTGTTACCATAGTACCACCACAGTACTTTTTTTGTAAGGGCTGAGTGTGTGTTAATCTCTTGGACAGTGCAATTATTCCTGTTTTGTCATGCAAACAAAAAAAGGCTTGCTGACAGGAGAAGTTGCATATTCTATACAAGTGGCTAAAATTAGATAATATAAGACTATGTCATCACAAGATGTATAAGACTACAGAGCAATATTTTTTATCCATGCACCATGTTATTAATTTTAGCTTTATTAGTGATACTTTAAAACCAGCCATCTGGGATACAACAGAACTGAACATTTTCCGACAATCATGACAATGTTGTCCTTGATTATGACCCTGCAAAGTCAATGGAATAGATGTTGGAGTATGAAATCGTTTACAGTGTAAAACTGTGTAATAATCAGTTGTAATTTTGTGTAAACCTTCAGATGGCAAATGTGTTTGTTTGACCCTGGTGAAAAAAATATCATCAAAGACCTCTTCCATGTAAAAAGCATTGCGAATATGTGGAATTAATATAAATAAATTGTTATGAATATAACCACAGTGGCATCCGACAGTTTGGTCATGCATTTTTTATTTTTTATTTTTTTTTAAACGGCCATTTATATTTTGGTTTGAATCATATTAAGGAATGCTATTAAACTTTTGTTTGAGGTAGTTTGGAATATGCATAAGCAAATAATTAATAATTAGTTAAAGAATATTTACAGTTTTCTTCCACAAATAATATTCAAATTGATCTAACAAAAATCACATTAAGTTAACCATGTTGTTTTATTCTCCTTAAACATTGCAGATCCATATACCACAAAAAGTGGTTGCAGTGTGCCATTTCTGCACAACTAGAAAATCGAATTGCTAAAATAACAATTTTTCTAGTTTCCAGTTTTCCAAACACTCCCCCATCTTAGCTGGACAAACGGAAGGCCATTGTTTGAGCTAATGATGCTATATGGCTGGTCAGGATTTTTTTCCCCTCACAAAATAGTGCTAACATTTCTTTAATAACCTAGATGTTTTATCATGTATTCGGTTTAAATGGCAGTGACTCTTAGGGAGTAATGTAGTAGACCCCCAAAATCTCTGGGCCACCTGTACTCAGTCCCATCCTCCTGGCTGTTGAATGACCCAAAAAGCATGACTTGTGAAGCAGCCAATGATATCATCTTTTGAATCACCTACACACCGACAGTAGAGGTGCCTCAAGCATTTAAAAGAGCTCATATGGACTGGTTTGCACATTCTGTAATTCAGCACTCCGGTCAAGTCATGCCACAATACAGATTGCTTGTACAACATTTTTAATATTCCTAAGTGATCTTAAGGGATTTAGAGTCTCGAGGGGAGAATCAAGACATTTGTTTCTCTAGCCATTTCACAATGTACTAATTCAGAGAAATTAACATTTTAATGTTTATGCATTTATGTATTTATTCCAGGTTATTTTATATTTCTAAAAAAAAACACATCTCAGGATGCATTCTAGTCATGCATTCTAGCATTCTAGTCCTTTGGTGCCTTGTAAATAGGACATTATCAGATAACATGTTTAAAAGTGAAAATGAAAGTTTGCATGCCCGAAGCTAAACACATCTGATTATTACTGGTGCCACACTAAGACACGGAAGAACATAAGAAGAACACATAGCAATTATCCTTATATGTATTGCCTCTCTGTTGAATTTACATAACATTGGTGCTTTATCATACAGATAAAAAAGGAAGATAAACAATGGGGAGGATCACAATCAAAAGAAACAACATTGGATAAGTTTGACCAGGCAAGAATATGTCAAACGGCCATGAAATATTAGAACAACAACTCTCCATTGTTGTTGTATTTTATTTGTCTTTTCATCATCTTGAAACACTTCCATTCAGGTGGAGCAGACTAACACTCATTTAAATGCATAAATGTCTTTAAGAATAACTTACATATTGTGCTGAATCAAATGTGACATTAAATGTTGAAGGTGTCACTACCGTATTGGCAGTGGCACGACTACAGCAACTTCAAGTTCTTGACTTTCACTTCTTTCTTCTTCTTCGTCACAGATACATTATTCTGGTTTTATGTTAGACTGAAACACACACACACACACACACACACACTGTCATTGTGATATAGAAAAGGAAAAAGAAATATGGGCACAAAGATGAAAATAAAAAATTGTCATAATTTGTATCTCTTGTATTGTCCTCTGTCTATACAGTATATGCTTTCCAACTGAAGATTCATGAGATGAGCCTTTGAGCTATTTCAGAGAAATGGTTTATCATTGGTTGATCTACATTCTCTTCATTAGTGAAAGTCAAGATTCACTTGCACAATTCATGGCAAATTTACAAAAAGTCTAATAATAATATGTAAAAAATGTGCTTGACACTTTATGACAATTAGATGAACCATTTTGCATTTAATGACTTATACGATGAACTAAAGACTAGATGTTTTGAGGGGTAAGACTATTGCACAGAAAACTATAGTTATGAGAAACTGGTTTTATGATGTACAAATGACTAGATGATGTGGAGGTTGTACAAGTAGTTTTGAGAATTTCATTTCTGATTTGAGAAATGCACCAAAGCGACTGAGAAAAACTGTAATAAAAATAACTTGTTATTGGATACAACGAGGAGTTAAGTTAGTGGTGTGCTCTCTCCCACCTTCAATACCACGACTGAGGTGCCCTTGAGCAAGGCACTGAAGCCCCAACTGCTCCCCGGGTGCCGCAGCAAAAAATGGCTGCCCACTGCTCTGTGTGTTTGTTCACTACTGTGTGCGTGTGCGCGCACTTTGGATGGGTTAAATGCAGAGCACTAATTCCAAGTAGGGGTCACCATATTTGGCCACATGTCGCGTCACTTTTCACTTTGTTATTTTGGGGTCAATGTCTGTATTTTATGCAAAGACTCAAGCCAACCAGCAGAGGGCATACAAGAGCTTTGAACGCATCTTTGATACTCTGGTGGAGGTCACAAAGAAGACTTCTTATAAAAACCGTGGCATAAAGCTAGTCCTCTCTCTTTGTTCAGCGAACTTTTGTATGTTGAGAATGTTGCAGTGCAACATGTCCTCTTCAGAAAGTTGCTTTGTGATTGCAATCATGTAAGTACTCTTCTTTTGCTGCCGGTTTAGTTTAGTTTCTCAACGCTCGCTTAAGAAGGCAATGATAATGATTTAAGACCATCACTAAAGATTTAGTAATGATGTCTAAATTTAAGGACTTTGTTGCGTGTGAGTTCGTTAAACTAGATTTTCGTTTGAGGTGCTCGAGTTGGGTTTACGCATGAACTGCATGTTAAACTTTTCTTTATATTCTGGTTGTAGAGTTTCCAGTTTGCCTCGTGATGGGATTGATGAAGCACGTGGCCTCGGATGATTCGCGCCATAGGCGTTTTAGGCTGTTGAATATCTGCGTTTGATGCATCGATTATAAATCGTAATGAACACAACGAAGGGTTAAGTTAGTGGTAAGTGAATTAAGCTTGGTCCACACACTTGGTCTTGAATAAATGTGACTTGGAGTTGGAGCCGCTGATGACTTCTAATACTTTTCTGACACCTCGTATGAACGCTGTATTACAGCAGCTGATTATAAATTCTAGTCTGAGGCTCTTTTGCTTGACAAATGTGATTTTTGTGAGTATGGTACAATATATATCCCTTTTCCCCCCATGTTAGAGATTTCGGAAATTTGTAGAGTGTAGTCTTGGTTAACCTAGATGGATCCAGGCCCATTATTGTTAGTGTTTTAATGTATATGAATACTAATGTGGTTGTATAACTTGAATTAGTCTACCATATGATATACAAACGTGAATAAGTCCCGCCCCATTTTGTGTGAAATTGAATCCCACTTAGCACCTTGCTACAATATACATGGAAATGTATTGGTCAAAATGTGGAAACTTTGACTGGTGGTGTCTGGCATTTAAGGTATGATGCTTGTTACTAATGTTCCTTTTTGTTTCTATCAGCTTTCACCGATGGTAAGAATGGAAGATGTTGTGACTTCGTAAGAGGTGAGACCCTTCCATTTTCTACCCTTTTTTTTTTCTTTTTCTCTTT